ATTGGTGCAAACTTTTAATATTGATTGATGAAAAAAATGCTAATATTTCAATTGATATAAAAATGTCCTTTTTGAGTGCTTTTAATTGAAGAAAATTATTAAATATTGATTGTGGAAAATTGTCCTTTGGATTGATGGAAAATTCTAATTGTTGTTGATTGCTGCAAAATTTCTTCCTTTTGATTAAAAAACGGTTTTCTTTTGATTGATGAAATATGTAAATTATTTGATTGGAGAAATTTCCAATCCGATTTCCTATATTCTCTTGTCTTCCTTATTGGAATTGATTGAAGGTTTTAATTGTGAAGCTGCCGGGTCTCCAAAACTAGGATCTATAATCCTTTAAATATTGGACTGAACTGACGACAGGCCCCACGTTGGGCGCCAAATAAGAAAATTAAACAATTTCTTTAGTGATCTTGCCTCGATCGATTTCAATTTTATTCTGCCATTTCCAAATTTTCATTTCATATTTTTTCTATAAGAAAAATCATAAAATTCCAAGAACATTCGTTTTGTTTGAAGAACAGTTAAAGATATTACAGTATTTCAAAAAGCCTCCAAGCCCAGTACTTAAATATTTAATAACTATTTGCACGGAAAGGTAGTAATCCTTAACTTACATAAGTGGCATTTATGTTCATAAAGATAATAGTTATCGAAATTGCCCCTGATCCGCTTTAATTTTGTGAACTTGCTGTAGGACTTTAGCACTGTCAATTGCAATCAATGCTGCCTAGTGCTGTCTATTAGATGTTTAAGAACAAAAATTATTGCCTTTTTACTGGACTTTTTGCAGAGTTAAGTGGATAAACAACTGATTACTTTTGAATTGTCTCTATTTGCCATAATCAAATATTCTGCATTCATTTGTTATTAATCTAGCTTGATTTATGAAAATGAACCTTCGAAGTCAACCTATGCTAGTCTTAAGGAATAATTGGTCATCAAAGTAATTCTAATAGGCCAATTCTGGCTAAGATAGCAAAAAGTCCTTCGTAGGACAATTTTTTTCTTTTTACCGATTTCACAAAAAAGATAAAGGTTATCAATTCGTCCGAATATCTTTTTTTATGTATATTATATGTATATTCTTATGTATATTTTTTATGCATAACTAAAATTTGTATATGAGAATTGAAGTCGGTTTTGTTTTTTGCTTAAAAATTACTTGTTTTTATTTAATCTTGTTTTAATAATTACATTTCATTGCTCTAAAAAATGTATTTTTTCATTCAGCCAATTTTTAAAAACCCTTTTATTTTAGTATTTTTTTATTTATTGTTTTAATAAGGAAAATATAGGATTTTTATTTTGATTTAATGTTTGGAAAGGTATTTAATTTTTTTCTATATATTTTTATTTTTCTTAATTAAATATATTTTTTTTCAATTTAATTTTCTTTTTGTTGGATTTTATTGCTTTCAAAAGAAAAATAAAATTTTTTTATTTCATATAATTTTTACGATCTTTTTTTATATGTTAATTCCAAATTTTATTTTTTTGGCTTTTTAATTTCTTTAGATTTTTTTTTAACAATTTTTTTTATTTAATTTAATTTTTAGGTAGATAATGTTTTTATATTTTTTGGTTTAATTTGTTTCTTCTTCTAATTTAATTATATTTTAATTTTTACATTTCGTTGTTCTTAAAAGAAAAAAATAATTTTTTTTAATTGCATCTAATTTTAAAAAATATATTTTTATTTATTTTTACTTTATTTGCAATTTATTTTTTGGATTCGAGTGATCCAAGTTCGAGTTTCGGGCAGCGGACTTTTTTCTTTTTTAATTTAATCTTCTTTTCATTTAATTTTTTTACATAATATATATCATTTAATTCTAAGAAAGTTACTTTATATATTTTTTTTTATTTTATTTTTTTTTTTTTTTCAACTTAATTTATTTTCTTTTAATCTGTAGAAATTATTGTTTTAAAAAGAAATTTTTTTTTATTTCATTTAACTTTTAGAAACTTATTACTATATTTCTCTTTTACATAATTTTTCCTTTTTTTGTTTAATTTTCTTTTCATTTTAGACTTTATTTTATTAATTTTTATTTTTTTTATTTTTACCATAGTTTAATTTGATTTATTTTACTTTTTATATTATAGTTTATTTTAAATTAATTTTCCTTTGTTAATTGCATTTTCTTTTAATGTTTAGTGTTTACTGATTAAAAAGAAAATTTTATATATTCGTTTCATTTAAGTTTATCTTATTGTTATTTTTTTTTATTTTTTTTATTTTTTGGTCTTTTTAAATTTAGTTTTTCTTTAATGTAAGGTTATGTTTTAAATATAAAAATATTTATTTAATTTTTAAGAACTACTTCATTCTTTTTTATTTAATAAAGTTAAATCGAATTTAGTTTTTAAAAAACTTATTGCTAAGAGGCTAACAACAAAGCGCTAAGACCTCCTCGTTAGTAGATCTTTCAATTAGCCTTTCAAAAGACAGTAACGAGTTTGCAACAAGATAGCTGCCAGAATTGTCCTGTAAGTCGACTTAAGCCGTTATTGATTTAGACGACTGATGTGTAAGGATAAAGTGTAGTGACTTCATCATCAATTTCAAAAAAAAAATATACGCTTTGCTTTCGAATGCAATCTTTATTTCAAGCATTATCTACATATTAATGAAATTGTGGAATCCGACTTTTAAGTATGTAGTTCAAAATATCTATATAACTAAAACTATTTTTCTTTAGACAGAGCAGTAGGGTGGTCCAAAAATGCATGTGAAACAATTAAAGTCGGAATTTTTATGCTCTCACCTATTTTTCTTTTTTTTTAAATCAAAAAATATTTAGAGGTCGCTAAAAATTTTCCTTGTCTAATATAAATAATCAGGAACCGTAACGGTTATAAGTTTTATTATAAAACTCACTTTTTAAATCGTTATTAACTGAGTTTTATTTTTTGCTCGGAACATAATCGTTACGTTTTAAGTTTTATTTTTTGCTCGGAAAATAAGAGTTACGTTTTAAGTTTTATTTTTGCTCGGAAAATAATGGTTAATTTTTGCGTATGCGTATGCGCTTTTTTGCAGTTTTTCTTTATAAATGTGGTTCTCTTTGTTTCTGCCCTGGTATCTGTATTTTCATTACCCACTCCACAGTTGCGTTAAAGGCTCAATGCGGCCGCCCCCTGTCTATTCAAAAAATAAAACTTAAAACGTAACCATTATTTTCCGAGCAGAAAATTAAACTCAAAACATAACGATTATTTTCGGAGTAAAAAATAAAACTCAAAATATAATGATTAAACTTGATTTTTATAAGTAAAAATTAAAAAATAGTAATAATACTAATACTACTAATAAAAATTAAAAAATAGTAATAATAGATAATCGTTATTTGTGGTCCCTGTAAATAATATAAGACAACTTTTCGTAGAAATGGCATGAAATTCTTGAAAGTCAATATTTTTCCATCGGAAAACTCTGTTTCTCTTCAGGAGGAGGAAAAATGTTGATTTTCAAGAATCATATACCACTTCTATGAAAAGTTGTTTTTTCCATATAAAATTCATGGAAAATTTTGAGCGCTTTGATCTAGCTCTAAATATTTTTTGATTACAAAATAAAAAATAATGCTTTATTTTTTTCGATATAGAACAATCCTATGCATAGGAGAGAGCATTAAAATTCCGACTTGCCTGCTTTTTGGGCCACCCTACTGAACAGTCTTCATCAGTATGTTATACAACGATCGATGAACAGATGCAGAACATACAACTGTTGATGATGGATAAAACATATTGCGTTAAGAAAAGTTTTTTTTCTTCTACTTTAGTTTCGCGCAAAATTATAATATTTTACTGAACTTTTTCATTTAACTGTTTATTATTATGTTAACCTAAGTATATACATATTTAATTACATTGGTGTTTTTTCGCAAAAATATATTTTTTGATTACTTGAAACTAATGAATATGCAAAAGGAAAATCACCTTTAAAATGCAATAAAAATTTATTCTTCGTATACTTTTGCGAACGCAATAATATCATCGCAACTGCACGTATTAACAATAAAAAGCATGAAACGATAATAAAAAGCACGAATTAGAAATAGCACGTATCCATGTTCAGAGATATTAAATGGAGCATAAGCAAATTAGATTTAAGACACTCATTTTGTGTTATTGCACGTGCTTTGTGTTATTGATTGTTTTGATTGTTAAATCAATTTGCATTCGTTACATTTCCGTAAACTGCACACTATCTCAACACAAACAATAATGTAAAGTCACCTTCCGAAATTTGTATGTGAAAAGTCTCAATTTATACTCACGAATTGGCCCGTCTGCTTTTTACCCGATTCACCAAAATTTTGTTTAACTTAACGGCTCAACCCTTCACCCCTAGCGCTGACTAACCAATCAATCCAAAATTCTAACCACTAGCCACTCCATGTGGCTTGTTCTTATATGTGTATACACTTCACACCGAATGCACACATATGAACATACATATACATATGTATGTGTAACTGAATTTATAACAGAGTTTTCTACCTGCTTTGCTAACTAAATAATTATATACTTACATACAAACATACATAAATGTTTCTTACCTCTTTACCTCAAATTTCTAACTAGTGATGTTTTTATTGCTTAGCTATTTTTAGCAATAAGTTATATCGCCGAATTACATAATAATCTAATGCATATTTTTCAAAATTTTTTCTTCAACATTTGTTTTGTTTTTTTTTGCGTACGAAATAAATAAATTCAAAATCAATTCATCATCAAATGTTCATCATACGCCATGTTGTACACAACTGACAAAATATCACCAAAAAAAAATTCGGCGCTATTGAAATACAATTGTTTTTGTATTTCACAACAACAATATCAATAATTAAAATTGTTCATAAATATGATACACACTTATCATCGACCGACCGACCACCACAAATCGACAAAAAAAACTAAACAACAAACAAATAAACAAAATGAAAATCTTTGCAAACCAAAAACAACAAAATAAACAACAGCTCCGCATTCGCCGCGTCGACAAAAGTTGAATTTGCGCATGAAATCTCTAAGCTTGGACTCACCGGAATCAACGGAATTACACGGTCAAATACGTCGGCGTCAGCAGCCGGTCATTGGTCCAACAACTGTTGTTGGTGGCGGCAGTGGATATTATCATAGCGGTTCCGGTGGACACTTGGAGCACAGTACGCCGCCATCAAATAATAGCCGTTTGCATTGTAAGTAGACACCGCACCAACTACTCTAACATGCACACACACACACACACACACACATACATTTACTGCGTTCACACATACAGAGTGATACGCTTGACAAGGATTAAAGAAACATACATATGTACATAAATCGGCACGATTTGACAGCAGAATACAATTATTTTAGGAGAAAATCTGAAATGAGTTTTCATGCTTGTTTCGCGTAATTTTAAATCTCAGCAACTTTTTTCCAGCTAATTTTTTTGCAAGCAAAACCTGCAACTACTTGTAGCTATATTTTTCACAGTTCGTGTGAGATTAGTTCGAACTACACCTTGCGACATAAACCAGAAAATTTCCAATTAAATCAATTCACGAAACCAGGTGCCAAATGTAGTAAATCTGCATTTATAGCCTTTCTCTCCGATGTCTTCTTTTAACGGACTTTGAAATTTCAAGGATATATTTAATTAAAAAATTTTTTTTAAAAATGATTGGCAATGTAGAATGTCAGTATTGGTATCAAGGGGAAAAATTCTCTAGAATTTAAAAAAATAAAAAAATTTTTGGTTCACCATTATACTGAAGGGACGCTAAAATCCCAAAAAAAATCCGAGACGCGTTACCTTAATTTTGGGTCGCAGATTAGGGATGTGTATATTGTTTTTTTTAGATCAGGTCATTTTCCCAAGAAATTTTCATTATAGGTTTGTGTATTGCGAACGAAAAAAAAATTAAAAACTTAGCAAGCAAAATGTTACTCATACGCCATGTACGAGTCTAGTACATACTAGTACATCTAGAACGGCACTGTACGATGTGGCGTATGAGTAACATTATTTCCTGGCGTTATTTCGTACAAAAAGTTATTATATACAATTTAATTTGACAATTTAAGACTTGTTTACTTATCAATCGATTTTAATCGCTAAAAGCTTGATCTCTTGCGAAAAGAACAGGCTTTACTACAAATTTAAAAACATTAAAAAAGATTTATTTTTTTAATTTTTTCTTCGTTAAAGATTGAACTTTTTTTTCATAAAAATTATAATATCTTGGAAAAATTACCGGATGTGGAAAAACGGTCTAGAGATCCGTACTCTTCGACTCTCAATTAAGGTCACGTGTTTCAGCATATTTTTGTGTCATTTCAAAACTTAAGATTTTCCTTGCACTGTTATTTTTATTTTTTTAAGTGAATGAAGTTTCGATGGACGAAATTCGAGGATGTGGTCGTGTATACATATATTTATATTAGTCTTTTAGATATGTCTTTTAATAAATATTGCAAATTCTCAAAGATATTCAAGTATAAAATTTTAAAAAGACATTTTCCATACCTATACGTCCTTGTGCACCAAAGAAAATGTATCTCTTTCAATTCCAATTCATTTTCAATTCCAATTCTTTTTTTTTACATGACGGCCATATTTTGATTCTAAATTGCACTTTGTTTTTTAAATACCTTTGAAATTTCAAAGGCCTTTACAAACAAATTCTAAAGAAAGAGTAATTTTTTTTTTTGGTTGTTAAATTTTCTGCCGCACCTTTGAATGGCAACAAAATACTCCATTGTCGCAGCCATTACTTATGAAAGCAAAAGGATGTTTATTTAGCGAACCATCTGTGCATACTAGTATGTGGAGTTGACGAATTTGAGCCAGGCTTCATTTTCATGTCTTCCATATCGCTCAAACCTCTGACGGTTCCAGGACCTAAGTACAATAACTCGTCGACTTTGTTTTCCATTTTGCCGCCAATGCAGTACTAAATAGATCCCTTGGATCTGGAAACGTCCAGGATCCATTGCTACCGCATCGTGATTGTTACGTGCTTACTAAAGTAAATTTATAAGACAACAAATTTTTGAGAAATCATTCGATTGTATTCCTTAATAAGAGCCGACTCAGTTTGGAAAATACCAGCTGGTAAAATTCCCTCCAGCAACTATTTCGTCAAGCTTCGCCCCATCTACTCCTCCCTTCAGAGGCTATGAGAGTTGAAAGTGGTGCCTAGACGCCGACTAGGTAGGCAATTATCTGTATTATAAAGAACAAATACGAGGCTCCCAAGAATATTTGAGTGTACAAACGCCTGAGTTAGTTAATCATGCATTACCTAAGAGTCTGACCGTCACAATAACTATCGGAAGTATATATCAAAAATTAACAAATTATATATGTATTAAAATGGAGAGAGATTGAATTGAAGTTCTCCAATGATTTCCATAAGAATGGCCCTTTACAAATCTGCCAGATTGACTACCCTCCATTGATGTACTGTGGAACGAATTTTCGTCATCCCTTGTAAAAATGGGCTCGGAGGCAACCCCGTTTCGGCGTTGTGTTAAGCCCGTAATCACATTTTGTTCTCTCTATTCTTCCGAAAACTTCACAGGTATGCAAAAAAGCAACAACTTGAACACATTCATGCATAGAATTATCAGAAAAACTCGAATTTCCATTAGTTGTAGGTATTAGATGTAACCACAAATTTATGCGTTGGATATATCATTCTGTACCCCAAAGGTATGTGAAGGACAAACTAACGGGACAAGCTTCGTACAAATAGAACTGGCGGTACGAAAAGTTGTGAGCATTCAGTATGTACACTCTAGTAAGAGATAATCGTTACTATTATAGAAGGAATCAGGGTGAAGACCTCCTAACTGAGGGAAGTTACCAAAATCAGGACCTAATAATAATGCCTGCTTTATCATCGCAACGTTGAATAGGGTTCCACTTCGTCGTGTCGTTATGAGTAATATAGGCGAATATTAGGTAGAACTCTTAAGTGGAAAAAGAAATCGACAAAATTTTTCTAAGAAGATTTTTCCAGGCAAACAATTAAATTATAAAATACAAATTAAATTTATTCACGAAAAGAGTTGGACACTTGAGACGGATAATCTTCAAAACTACTCATACAAACACAACTTGTGATGTCTGCCATTTGATATTCATATCATACAATTTTATTGCGAAGAAAAATTTCTAAAAATATAGTACAATATAAAAAAAGGTTTATAGTACAAATAATAGAATATATATTTTGCAAAATTTAATCGATTGCAGTTCAAAGTTGTTACTTGTTCAAGTTGTAGTTAGTTGTTTTATACAAAAAAAAAATATATATATATATTAAACAAATACCTACTCACATATATATTAGTTAACGAGTTGAATTTTTAAAATGAGTTACATAACACATATATACATAGATATATAGTATAAATAGTATAAAAAGTAATTAGTTTCAAAGTTTCTACTTACATTTAGCGCTGAAGCTGGTAGTTACAAAAGAGTAATTAAAATTGTTTTTAATCAACATTTTTTATAACTTTTTTTATTTGCGAATTTCGAAGCGTTCATCTGTACATACTTTTTCGCATATCTATCTATACATATATATATAAGTTGCCCATTCTGTCGATATACCTACGTGCATACATACAACTAGTATACGTCCATACAGAGCTAATTGTTTTCAACTTTAAGTAGCATTGGCGTAATTAGCGAACAACAACAACAACAACAACAATAACAACAAAATCAGCTCTTAGTTGTTTAATTGAATTGTACAAAAAAAAAATAAAAAATTTAATTCGTTTACGCTTTCGTGCGTGTTCTTTTCTTTTTCGTTTCTTTCGTCTTTTTTTCTTTTTCTGTTCCTCTTTCTCTTACCGCCAAAAATTTTTCTCTGAATGCACGCCACTGTAAAATCGGCATCAATACATCTACACTCCACTACAACCACCTGCAATCGCTCACAATCAACGTTCACACCATCTGCGCCTGGCATTCAACTGCATTTGCAACATACAAACATTCAAATGCATTCCTCTACACACATGCAAACAAATGTGAAATGTGCAACAAAATACAAAACCAAAAAAAAAACATTTCGAAAACAAAAATCAATTCACAACTTACTTACACACGCCCACAACAAATGCGAAACAACCTTATCACTCTGCCACTCTGCCATACCGCTCGTTCGCTCCGCACTTCACAACGAATACCCACAATTCTCACATTGCACTCTCATCTTCATTGTAACAAATTTAATGCAGCATTCAAACGTGCATTTACAGCGCCTTCCAGCCCCTCACATCAGGGTCGCAAATTGCTTTATGCCACGCGCGGCATGCGCGGTGGCAGCGTCGATCTGCCAGACGAGATGGAGAAATCGCAGTCATCGGCGAGCACCTCACCATGCCCCTCACCCGTAAGGCAATTTCAGGTATCTCGTTTTTAGTTTCATTCGATTTTCCTTTTAGTTGTTTTCAGTTTGGGTTGTTAATTTTTTGAAGTGAAGTGTTGAGTTGTGGGGGATATTCACGCTGAAAACTGGTAGTAGTTGGTTGGTAAGTGATGCCAGCGGATAAAGAAAATGTATGAAAAAATAAAGCTTAACTAACATATATACATACATATATGCACATTAGGGTGGTCTAAAAATGCATGTGGGGAGGGAAAATATAGTCGGAAATTGTATGCTCTCACCTCCTAAGGTTCTTCTATTCCAAAAAAATATACCCGTTTTTTATTTTGAAATCAAAACATATTTAGAAGTCGCGCAAAGTGCTAAAAATTTTCCATATATTTTATAAATAGAAAAACACCTTTTCGAAGAACTGTTGTAGAATTCTTAAAAATAAATACTTTTCGATTGAAAAACTCTGTTTCTCTGCAGGAGATTTCCGATAATAATACCCAATTGTTTACTTAACCATTTTTTCATAGCAACTATATTTTATAGGTCCGCCAAAACCACCAGAAAATTCCAGAAAATGCATAAATAAAAAGTCGTTGGTATTATAAATTGGTTGAATTTACAATTGGGTGTTACTATCGAGAGTCTCCTGAAGAGAACTTGTGTTTTCCGATTGAAAATTATTCCTTTTCAAGAATCCTATACCTTTCTACGAAAAGTAGTTTTCCCCATACAAAATTCATGGAAAACTTTGAGAGCTTCGAGCGACCTAAAAATATTTTTTTTTTTGTATAAAACAATCCTAGAGGTTGAGCATTAAAATTCCTAGTTTATTTGGACCACCCTTATGTACAAACAATCAGGGTCAAAAACATGCATACCCTAACGTATTTTCCATAGCAAATTTTTCTTAGTTTGTTATAAAAATATAGACTTTATTCGCTGAGACCTTTTGCGTACCTTTTTTTCATATAAAAAATAAATAAGTAAAACCGGCAAAACGTCAGGGTATGCATATTTTTGATGCTTACTGTATATGTATGTAAATATATTCATGCATAGCTATAGGCGGAATTTGGCGCTACTAAAAATGTATCAGTTTTAAATATTTCTTTGAGGAAATTAATAAAATTTATTTCATTTTAAATTTTTTAAGTTCAAAATTTTTTATTCATTTGTTAATAATAATTATTTTTTTCTGTGTCGATACGCCTATTAAAAAAAACTGTACTTACATACTCGTTTCAATTTAATTTACTTTCTAAGCACTTTGTTTTATACAATTTTTATTCAATAAAAACATTAATTTTTTCTGTTCATTTATATTTGCGTTTCAAAATGTTCCCCCTTATCACTAGTCGCTATTAATTCAGTGGTTTTTCTAAAATCCTACTTTCGCTCTAGAAATCTCACCGTTTATTGCCAACGAATTTGTACGTCATTTTATACAACTTCAAAGCGCGGCACGCCGATGAGTTGGACTTGAAAGCTGGTTATAAGGTAAGTTTATTTGTCGCAAATTGTCCTTATACATATTGTATAAAAGTCATTGCATTACATAATTCGGTTGATTTTCAAGAAGAAATTGCTTTTACTGACAGCTGACCACAATCATTTTTGAGAGGCCATAAACTTCTTATTTGCGGCACTTTTGAAAATTAACGAATACATACAATTTTAAATTTTTTATTCAGAAGATTTTGGTAAGCAGCTTTAAAGCCCATTCAAGTCTAGTGCAATGGAATGAAAGTTTAAAGTAGCTACAAAATACCGTTGCTTTTTGGTATTTTTTGTTTTTAGTTGACGGTGCTGGGCATTCTCTTCCATATAATAAAAAATGTTCGAACATACTTTGTATGGAAAGAAAGCATAAAAAAATAATAATATTAAAAAATCAACGGTATTTTGTAGCCCCTGCAAACTTACACTTCACTATACTAAAAAATATTAAAAAAGACTTCCGAATAAAAGGTTTGAAATTTTGATGAAAATTTGTTGAATTTTTAGAATTTTTGTACAAAGTTTAAAATGTGGATTTATATGGTGTTTGTTGTATAACTAGCTAGACGTTTATAAAAAATATAAGGAGGCGAGTCTCTTATTTCTGGTACCAGTATAGAAGATAGTTTACAGCTTTGATTATAAAACAAAAACTATTAGCAGATTTTCAAGTTCTATGTAAAGAACAGTTAAAAATAGGACTTATAAATACTTAAAATAGTATCGAAAGATTTCAGATATCGTTTTTGCGTTTATATGTCTTAATTTCGCATAAAATGAAAAAATTACTGATTCAAATATTTGGTAAAATACGTGTCTTCTTTTTTTAATAACCTGTCAGAAAAATAGGATGAAATCTCAGAGATAACATTTTTTTTTTTCATTTTGTCATAAAACGAATTCCACCCCACGAAAATTCTCTTGAATTCATCACAAGCACACCTTCTCCGCACATACCAATTGAAAATGAGGCTTGTTAGAGCGCCCTACTATATAAGCAGCATGAGCAGTCTACAGTATTACGCTAAGTAAGGTATACTTGTTAAATCCACAAGAATCGAAGAACCTTTAGTAAGTCACACAACATTCTAATTCCTGAAAATGACTTGTGAGGAACGATAATCGCAACTAGGAGTGGAACATGGATGGATATGGAAGGTAATACACTAACTACAAAAATCAGGAAGGTATAATTACGGACTACTACCTGCCAGCAAAAGCAAGTCACAACAATTCATCTACCTATTTAGAACCGCAAATAATGCAAAACTAAGAAGACGTACCTAAAAAGAGAGGTAGTTAATAAGGAGTATAAATACGAGCAACCAAATTGTCTCCAAACCAAATTGTCTCCAAACCAAATTTGACAAGGTATGACGGAAATTCGTTCCAAAATACATCATAAATGATTTCATTTCTCACAACGACCACATTGCGACAGACTTAATTCGACTTAGTTTTCCAATGGGTAAGTTCCCAACCATATTCCATACAGATCTAAATTTACGCCCGCGAATTACTTCGGAGAAGGACTGAAAGGACAAGAATAAATATCATGTTCAAATACTCAGCAGCACCAAGGCTTGAGACAGTTGAACTCTTTGCTAACTGGTTTATTTTTGCTCTAAATCTTTCCGAGTTTAGTAGCATCGTAAGGGCTGATTCTGTCGCAAAATATGGTTACCAGTGAGCTTGTCTGGACAAACCGTCCACAAAACATACAGTTGATCTTCTAGAAAGGTGGGTGTACTATCAGCTTTACACTGAAAGTGTAAGAGTCTATCTACCCTACTTGGTAGAGTCCTGTCAGACCTGCAACTTGATATGCCTCTTGAAAAGCTGGAACTCAACCCCACGGTGCGGTACGTAAGCAGAGCCTATCAACACAATACGATGATAAGCACCCTAGCTCACTCCCAAATTGGTGTCTGTTCGCTGGCCCGTGGATACGTGGATATAAATATCCGGACATTGTGAGCTGCGATTCGAACTGTATGCACAAGAATCACTTCTAACCACTCCCAGATGAATGGCAGGCAAAAGCTTTTCCCATTTACGTGGACTTCTGTATACGGAACCATCGCCCATGCTAATTGTAGTAAACGCCAATCCATCAAAAGAAGTTTTAGTTCTCGTGGTGGAAGTCAAATTCATGGGTATTATCTTCAATTTACTGCCCCAAGATAGTACTTAAGCTGGGAGTAAGTACACTGCATCCAATAAAGTTCTCCGGAGACACAGTGTGGTGGACATCCTTTCATAAACTACACAACCTACCCTCCTCAATCTCTTCACTGTACACAGTGTGAGTAAACTTCAGGCAGGCACCAAAAATGCTGTTGTGATCACTCGAAAATTCAAGAATCAGTCTCTTTCCAATTATGGCATTTCATAATCGTTTCAACACCGGATTACCTAAAGGTTCAAATGGGAAGCAAAAATTATCGTAGATGCCAACTCAAGTTCAACTTCGTTATTAGTACTCGTATACTGACGTCCTTAGACTACGCGATAAAGTATAAAGCGGAGTACGCTCACTAGAACTTTCACTAAAATTAAGCTTTCATTTGTCTGAGTACTGTAACGGAGTTGCATAAACCCACTTCACTTTCAATAGTTTGGCTTCAAAAAAAAATAAAAAAATGTGAAGAATGTTGTCAACATACTATTTTAAAAACGTGTATATGATTTATTCAAAATCCTGTTAGCTTTATTGACCAAAATATCATTTATTTAACATGATGACGCCAATTTCTAAATATTTATTAGCGTGTTAAAATAATAATTCAATATTTATTACGTTGGAAATTCATGCTGACAAATTGTTTCTGCCAAACATAATAATAAATAATAGCGATAAATTTTTCATATATACATACATATGTATGAAGGTACATAAAGTAAAGTGTATGTAGGTACACATGTATCATAGCAATAAAAAGTGCACAGCCAGGCCGATTGAAGTGAAAAAAATATTACACTGCGTTAAATATTTCCAGTAACGCAAACAGATTTTTAGTATATCATAAATTTTTGAACTCACAATTGTGAAAATAGCGAGCGGATTAACAATCACTGATGTACTGACTTCCCAGCAATGCCGTTCCATTCATATGGAAAGAAATGGAGTGCGGTGTAATAAAGATGTAAAATCATTGTAGGTGAAAAAAAAGCTTAAAAGCGGTAAAAAATTAAATTTCACTGATATATACACATAAATAAAGCTTGAATGTTTTAATTGAAATATATATCACAACAAGGATACATAAACATATGTATACACATACAATATTTAAATAAATAAAATAGTTTGTGCTCAAAAGCCGTAAAATTTCTGCACCGACCATAATCAAAAGTGTAAACCGAAAGACTAAAAAAAAAGTTAGTGAAATTTCGAATATTTGTTTTAATATTTTACTGACTTTTTGCGAAGCTCTCACATATTTGTTGAATAAATTTAAATTAGTCCAGTTTGTGGTTTAATAAAATGATGAAATGAAAATGATGAAATAAAGCATGCTTTTGTTGCCGTAAAAATGTACAACGGCATGCATAAAATACAGTTATGGCCCAAATATTCCCCGGCACCTTCATAAAGATGTACGTATGTATTTATAAAGGTTTATGAGAATTTATACGGTAACCACAAAAAAGCGAAGTAACAAAAATTTATAGAAACAAAAAAAACTAGTAGTATTTCTCAATATGTTTTCAACGTACTTTTTATTTACTTTTATTTTTTATTTATTTTTATTTTTAATATTTTTATTTTTTTATTTTATTTTTTTTTATTTATTTAATTTTTTATATTATTATTTTACTACGGAAAAATTTTCTACGATTAATATCTACGTCAACATGAGAAAAAGCACGTGCAAAAGCATATTGAGAACCTTTTTCCTCGGCCTTGAAAGGGTTAAAAAGCGTTTCTTATATGACAGACTCTGCATTAAAGGGTTAAATGCTGCATTCCATTATCTCTTTTCTAAGCGAAGATCTACGATTTTGAAAAAAAACTCGTGTTTTGCCTATAGTGCGTCGCCTGTGGGCATTCTTTCATATATGTATGTATGTGCCATTTCTACTCGGTTATTCCATTGGGAATTCATGCTTTATTTAAATTTAAAAAATTAAATTACTACACCATTTCAATTAATTAGTGTGTAGTCCAGTTTTGTTTTGTAGAAGTTTCGTTAGTATATACTTCAGTTTTTACACATTGAATATATCTGCATATTTATATATTTACGCGTATCTATTTACATTTATTTATGTACACGTCTACAAAATTTTATTAATTATAAAGCGATTTTTAATCTTCGTTGCTTAACACACATTTTTTCAATTAATTCTTGTGTTGTAATCGGCACATCATTATGTACCGCTAACATCGTTAAACCATTCCGCCGCTCCTTAATTGTATAAAAAGAAGGGACAAATAAGATAGCATATTCAACAATTGAGTAGTCCACTTGCAAAGTGCGCTATGTAAATTTTTTTTAGATTTTTAGTTTTTGGTGGGTTTCATGTCCACTAACAGCAGAGTGAACATTTTTTCTATATTCTGAAAAAAATAGCATGAAATGTTAACTACTCTTGCAAAAGTCGCTATAATACTTATTTCTACACTTTCAAATGTCTCCTCTTCGTATGAACTTAGAAAACTGCAAGAAAACGTGGTAGTTTCGGTGCCTGTGGAAGAGGTCGCAAAAAAGAAGCAAACCAATCTTCCTAGAGGAGAGAACGCGAAAAGCTAAAAAAAGCTAGCTATATAAAAGTTACTGTTTCAAAACTTGCAATATTAAATTTTTAAATATAAAATTTGCAAATCTACCATACTGCAATTTTATTTTTTTAATGGTATTAGGCTCTTATTTATCCAAATTTTCAGGTAATAAAAAAAGATACAGTTCGGATGTTACTTGTTGTCGTAGACGTTTTTTTTTTTTTAATTTATGGTTTACTTTTATAAAATCACATAACGCTGTTTGCAAGTGGAC